GACTTTGATGCACCTTTTTTTTTTTTTGTGGGTGTTAAGGGACAAACATGTTTTAAAGTTTGGTTTAATTTTGCACTTTGTTTAACTGACCATTCTTCGGCCAAACGTGAAAGGTGGGTACAAAATAGTATTGTATGAACACTGATTGGTCGAAGAATGAAATTTGGACCAAAAGTGTCCATCATGCACGCTTATGTTCACTTAAGATTTACATTATTCAAGTTTAAACTAAAATTACATAGCCCTTAAGTTCAACACAGCCCTTAAGTTTCATAAACTCCGAGCTTCCTGAATCATTCACAATAGTAAAGCATTTCCATTATATTTTTCATGGAATAAATGAACATTAAACGGGGCGCTTAACGTTTAACCAACTTTAATCAGGTCGCATTTGTATTACGGATCACCAAAAACAAGAACTCTCTCGGTACTCATCTCCGTGTGCTATTTTCTATATTTTCAACCGTTTTACTTTGCAAAAGAGGGATCATCATCCCATCAGGTGAGGCTCTCAAGGGCTCAAACCCACAACCTTTGCTATCTTCTTCTTGTGCTTTCCCCCACATTACGGCATAAAAACCCAACTAGCAGTATCGTTGCTCCAAGGACACTGGAAAATGTGTTGTCTGAGATTAGATAGCAAATTGGCTGTACTTTTGGTGATCTTGAAACTAATCCTCAGAATCAACTTGTAAGGGTAATGGTACGGTTATATACCTCCCAAGAAAAAGAGAATCGCCAAGGAATATGACACTGAAAGCAGCTGCGATGGCAATAGAAAACGGCTTAAAGATTGAGGCATAAAGAGGGCCCTTCAAGTGCACCACCCATGTGCTGAGCAAAGAATTGTAGGATGGACCAAAGACTCCCTGATCGCAACAAATATTGAGAAATCCTTAAACCAGTTGAACGTAAATGTAAAACTAAACAGCATGCTATACTATTAATACGTATTCCAATTTACAATTTCTTACTGACACTACAATGGTGACCAATGCTTTATCAGGCTTCACTGTCCAATGGCTCCATTTTGCTTCCGCTATAAAGCATATTGGTCAGGCAATAATTGTCTTGCATAGGAAATATATGGATGACACAATTTGCTCATCTGGGTACATTTCTATCACCTGGGTCTGTCAAGTACTAGAAAGAAGTAAAATACCTATCCTAGGATTTAATTAGAATAGGAGTTTATTATTTTTTAGTTCGACCTATTTAAGATTATAAGAATAACCTCTTAACTACAATCCCATGGTACAAGAGAAAACCTTTTGATTCCAATTAAAACGGTAAATACTATTTTTTTGTGAATTTGGGAAATTTGGGTAGATTTAAAATTGCGGCTGAACTCAGTGAATTTTGTCGAGTTGCCTACATACCCGTTAAGGGATCAAGCCACTTGTAGTTCGAATTTTGGGTTTACAAATTTGGATAATTCCTCGGTGTATGACCTTAGGAGGAATTTACGCACTTTGAAATTTGATTTGGGAATTCAAGATCGAATTTGATCTTGAAATTGCACCTAAATTTTTAGGTTGCCTACGTATCCTATAGGGAATCAAGTCAATCGTAGTTCTTGAATTTGAATTTGGATTTTGGGGAATTCCTCGATATATGACCATAGGAGGAATTCATAATCGAATTTGACCTTGAAACTGCACCTAAATTTTTCGGTTGCCTACGTATCCCATAGGGAATCAAGTCAATCGTAGTTCTTGAATTTGAATTTGGATTTTGGGGAATTCCTCGATATATGACCATAGGAGGAATTCATAATCGAATTTGATCTTGAAACTGCACCTAAATTTTAGGTTGCCTACGTATCCGATAGGGAATCAAGTCAACCGTAGTTCTTAATTTTGAATTTAGATTTTGAAGGATTCCTCGATACATGACCATAGGAGGAATTCATAATCGAATTTGATCTTGCAACTGCACCTAAATTTTTAGGTTGCCTACGTATCCCATAGGGAATCAAGTCAATCGTAGTTCTTGAATTTGAATTTGGATTTTGGGGAATTCCTCGATATATGACCATAGGAGGAATTCAAAGATGTTTTAAAATTCGATTTGAAATTTTACTTTAGAGTTTGGATTTGAGAGTTGTATTTGGATAATTCCCCGGTATATGACCTTATGAGGAATTAAAAGGATCCTTTTTGAATTTGGTGTTGAGATTTTTTTTTATTTGAATTTGGGATTTGAACATTGTATTTAATCACCATATGATTTTATGAGACAATGGGCTCATCTTTTGAACTAAAGGACCATAGAGGGGCTCAATTTGTGCACTTTAAATTTTGGGATATTTAATATTCTGAATTTTTTTGAAATTTATCCTCTTTCTCTCTCTTTTCTTTGTTTTTTTTTTTTTTTTGAATTTTAAAATTCAAAATCAAATCCACCATTTGAGTTAGATTTGTTATGATCTGATTTATTTTTATTGATCTTCTGATCTCAAAAGGAATTAAAATCTTTTTTTTTTTTACTTCACGTGGTTGACATATATATACATAGCTTCATATCTCACACAATACAGTAAAACGCACACCCACGGCTGATACCACCACTTTTAATCTCACACATCCACGGCTTATGTGTATATATACACACGTGTGTGTATGCCGTTTGGTGATTGTGAAGATACCAGGTGCTTGCTTCCTTCCTTTTTTTTTATGTATCCATATATATATATATATATATATAAACACTATTACACTGTAAAAGCAGCAGGCTACACTCTTACGCTGCGAAAGGAGCAGGCAACAGCAGCAGCCAACTTTTAATATATATATATATATATATGATATATATATATATATAAATGATATGCATGTATATATATACACTCCTTTTTTTTGCAGACGTTAGCGGGATTGTAGAAAACGTTGTCAGCGTCTTCTCAGTCTTTTTTTTGTGTGTTAAATCTTCTGACAAAATTTTAATTGCAGAGTCATTTTCCAACTCCAAGTAAAAACAAAAAGAGTTTGCCTTTCAGCCAAAAGAACAAAAGAGACGTTGTTGAAGGTAATTTTTTTTTTATTTAGCCTTTCTGTCATCTTTTATTCTAGTTCTTTGGCTGATTTTTTATTTCTCTTCTTTTTTTTTCCAGGGAAACGAAAAGGAGGCCCTTACGTAAGTGGTCTCGATTGAGGCATAAGGAGGGCCCTTCAAGTGCACTACCCTTGTACTGAGCAATGCATCGTAGGATGGACCAAAGACTCCCTGATCGCAACAAATATTGAGAAATCCTTAACCAGTTGAACGTAAGTGTAAAACTAAACAGCATGCTTTACTATTAATACGTATTCCAATTTACAATTTCTTAACTGACACTACAATGGTGACCAATGCTATATCAGGCTTCACTGTCCAATGGCTCCACTTTGCTTCCGCTATAAAGCAAATTGGTAAGGCAATAATAGTCTTGCATAGGAAATATATGGATGACACAATTTGCTCATCTGGGTACATTTCTATCACCTGGGTCTGTCAAGTACTAGAAAGAAGTAAAATGTAATTGCTTTCATGAATAACTTGTCAACAAATTGTGAATCAGAACACACTATTTTGCGCAGGGACATTTGGAGAGATTTTCCGAATTTTAAGTTACCTGAAGGATGTACCAGATTGAGCTAAAAAGGCTTTGCAAAACTAGTAAAAGGCCTCCTGTGATCCCATTTGTTTGTGTTGTTTCTAGAGGATACTGAAGTGAAGGAGGCGACCGTGGAGAAGGTGATGAAGATGCAGAGGATATGATTGTGGGTCCCTTGTGGAGACTGCCATCAATGCACCTGATATTGAAAGCATGGTGCCTATGATTTTCAGACGAGTTGATGAGCTTCACGGCTTCAGATTTTCCATCCTTTTAGAGGCATGAAAGAAACCTAATATCTTACTCTGGATAAGACAACAGAATACAAGAAAAAAACAAAGGTACAACACAGTTTGGTTTATATAATATGTATATATATATATATATATGTATGTATGTATGTATAAGAAATTGATGAGTATGAGAAAAAACCTGAAAATGACGGCCAGTACAAAAGTAAGAGTGGATGTGAGATTGTTCATAGCAGATGAAAGAGTTGTTGAACTGTATTTGATACCTTTATGCACAAACATTGCCTAAAATCCTCTCTTAGGAAACATTTCACTTTTGCACATAAGAAATATAGGATTCTCTTCTGTTGAACTGTATTAGTTCCATACCCAACAAGTGCAACAACGACGATTCTGTAAAGGACGGACATCTTGAAAGAAGGAAGCTCACTTCTGCGCATCTCCAAATAATACACAAGTGCATCATTTTTCATGCATGTATATATATGTATATATATGTGTGTGTGTGTGTGTGTGTGTGTGTGTATGGATGTATATGTATTTTGCTTATTATATATACCTGCGATATATAAAGGGAAGAGGGAGCAGAATAAGAGTGCCTATAATGTAAAAATAGGCAACGAAAACGAAGTAGCTTAACCCTTTCAGAGTAGCTGTTTTGTATTAAGGTATTTATGATCACCGTTGCAGACTCTACCGAGGCCATGGCTGTGAATGGCCCAACTTCTTTCTTCCAATTCCGTCCTGCCATTTTCCTCTGCTCTCTCTCTCCCTCTTTCTGTCTAATTCCTCGGTTTCTCTAGCCTCTCCAAGTCAACATATGTCATTCTACGCACCCACTTTCGGTTTTTTATGTATTTGTAAATCACTATGGCATAAAATGAATAGTTACTAGGCCGTTCATGTTAAAACAGAATAGGGCAATCATTGTACTTCTCTCATTGCACCTTCGCGTGGACAGCAATGATAGAAATAAACAACTAAAATTTTCATTTACGGAGATGGGTTAGGCAATCATCATTCCGCTCAAAGAAAGATGCAAATCATCGTCTATATTAAAAGTAAACGTGTCTAAATAGATAAATACATGGTCTGTTGTGAAAAGGATAACGTATATACACAAAACTGTCACGCATCAAATTGCATGCAAATTTTCAGCCTTTCCTCCGCTTCTTTCTCAAAAGAGGCATGGCACATAGAGCTCCCACAGGAGTTGTCCGAGTATTATCCATCTTACTCTCTTGCAGTGAAGTACCTGATTTGGACTGGTCATTTTTCGTTATTGATTTCGCTTGATCCATAGTTGGCTCAGAAACATGTGCCGCTTTCAGCCCTACAC